CCCGAAAATTTATAGGGGTATTTTAATCAATTTATATTTACGAATTATTTTTTTCATATTTTTATTAGATGCGCCTCACTAAGATATACGCACGTTCCAAATTTTTGATTATTCAGATTTTGTAAAAAAAATAATAAAAATTGAAATACTACCAGACAACTGTGACCGTGCGATGAAGTTGGGATGGAGATGAAGGTAGGTGAAATCACTGTTCATTTTCGCCTATAGGCGTTTTGGTATCTTCCTTATTTATTTATTACTTCCTTTTAATTCTGCCATGGGCTGTCCCTAGCCCTCATAAAGCATAAAACATTGCCACATCTTTTCATGAATATCGAACCTAATCGAGGATATTGGTTTAAATAGAGCAAAATGGCAGAAAAAGATTTTTGTAGCTGACCTTAAATAGTTGAGAGAAGGCTCAGATAATGATGATGATTCATTACTTATTTTTAAATTTGTTTTATTCAGTACTTTTTCCTCAATGTGACTTAATTTAAACCTACATTTGTAAAGAAGTTATTATTTATTTATATGATTGTATATCATAGGGCTATTTACCTTTGATACAATAAAGTCAAATCATCCTTGATATTCAGATGGGAAATCAGGTGCCTAGTATTGTACAAAAAAGTTCAAGAAAAACTTTATCGGACTTTGATTGCAGTCAATGATACAGCCCTAGCCACCCCAATTTTACATTTTATTGTTTAGGTTGGTTTTGACCTTCTTGTACCTAAAGTCGACGGGCTTCTTGTATATTTCCTTGAAGTGTATAGGTGCATATAGCGTGCTTTCGCAGTAGTACATTGTACCTTACTTGTATAAGCCAAATACCTATTTAGAACTTCACTGGAAGCCTGTAAAGCATATTTTATTTACCATGAACAAGCTAAAAACAAAAATGATTTTGAGGTCTGAAAACAAAGAAAACATAGATGTGACCCTCTACCAAGTGGAGGCTCTACATTGACTTTCGGAGCAAAATTTGTTTGGGCCATTTTTAGGGTTCAAATTCAAATTGTTTTCTTTAAAATGTTTGGGGAAAATGTTTTCTGAAAAATATTTATACGCGAACCAAACGTGCCCTAAGATAAAGGACATCTACATATTTTGGTTCTAAAATAAATTATTGGCTATAGAGCCTTGCATGACTACTAGTGCCCGAAGCTCCATAAAATCGCCAGTTGGGGAAACGACCATTGGTCCGTATGTCTTTGATTATGGAAGGAAGTCAAGATTGTCTTTGACTTTAAATGTTATGCACAACCTAAATAGGCCCTCCAGTTCCCTTGGCTAAAAACATAAATCTGTGCTTGCCCTTTGTGAAGGCCTAGCTGATCAAAACTTGAGATCCGAAAAAAAAAAGACACACTTGTTATTCATGTGTAAAGCACGCAATTTATTTGTTTACGCACGGTTCAAGACCGACTAGATTACGCAAAATCTGATTTGTCTAAGATCATGTCCAATATTAAATTTGATTGACTAGAAGATTTGGGTTCCATTGAATTACAATTTA